GAATGAAAAGTGATTGTTGATAAGACGCTAAGAAGTGGTAAGGCAGATGAGAAGGAAAATGAAGTAAGACTTAATTTTCATCTAACCTAACTTCTAATTACAGCTTCACTCTTCACATTGAATATTAAGCAGAAACAGTAAGTCCAAATATTTTTAAATGTCAAATGTAACCACTATTAAAAATATACAGCACATGTAACTTCCAAATCATGGAAGTGAAAAGGGTAGGATAAAATAACAAGTAACTATAGAAAACAATGTGATAGTAAGAAGCCCAAATATATCAGATATGGTGACTAATATAAGTAGATTATGCTTCCTATTAAAACGTAAAGAATGCCAGGCTAAGTTAAACAAACAAACAACAAAATCCCAAATCTATGTAATTCAAATGTAGGTGAGATTACACTCTCCTATAAAATTAAAACAAACACTCTTTGTATTATCCCATATTTTACAAGATCAATGCTCTGGGGTGGTATATACGTATAGTCATTGCTGGGCTTACAGTCTTTTCATTTCTGAACTCAGAATCTCACTTTCATCTGACCTCCAGTTTCTCCATCTTCTGCTCCTGTTCTTTTCCTGAATTTCCCCATTCCCATCCTCACAGACAAGCAGTGGTAGGGGTTGCAGTCATCACTGAAGCTTGGGTGCCATGGAAAGTGCTGTGTCACCCTGTTGTATGTCCTTCTTTCATCAAAACTCCCTGCCAATCTCCAGCCCTCTCAGAATTCCAAGAACTCCTTACCCATTGTGCTTGTGGAAAACTCAACAACCCTCCTTTCTTAAGAAGAGTAGTTTATCTAGCTTTTGAGCCACAAATAGACTTCCATCCTATCTTTGCTCTTCCAAAGTCAATAACATCACTACTCAAACAACTCTTCTACTCTGGGTCTCATCTTTTAGAGGCCCAGAAGAATAGGCTTTGAAAGTTCACAATTCACTTTCCCTCTTCTATAAAATTATGTAAATGCAAGAGAGCTAGATATTTTCTTTTTTCACGAATATAAATTATGCTACCACCTGTTCCCATATCTCCCCCTAGTTCCTCAAGACAGATGCTGTTTAAATCAATTTGAATCTTAAATTATACTATTTTCCTCTGTTACAAAAATGCTGTTTGTGTAAGAAGTATCTAAAATAAAATAAGGTAAAATGTTTGAAATAAAAGAATGAGCAATAAAACTGATCAGAAAAATGTAAATAAAAGAAAACAGTGATGGTAAATATGAGCCCAAGAAGAAACAAATCCAGGGAAAAACATCACATCAGAAATTCATTATTTTATATTGCTAATAGGTAGAGTTTTCAATAAATATACAAGACTCATTGACCTTTATGTGCCCCATAATAAAATATCAACATAAATGGAGTTAAACTGTCAGAAATACAGGAAATTTTCAAAACCCATTTATGGGGAAGACCAATATATCTCTAATACATCTCTGTAGCTCTTTTAAAAAATAGAAAAACGATTTGGTAATTCTATAAAAACTGTATTTTTAAAGCATTTATAAAGTACTTATGGGAAAAACTTCATTAAATTAAAATAGAAATCATTTAATGTCAAAATTATAACAATAAATTTAGAAACTGGTGTAATTCTAATAAAAATCTTAGGAATTCTTTTTTGGATTTTTTGGTTTGATTTTCCAGTATGTGTAGAAGAATAAATTATTGACAAAATGCAAGAAAATATTTTATACATGTATTACTGAGGGAAGTATGCTGTGCTTGATATAGAAATATAGAAGAACAATTCTTAAAATATAATGGTGCTGTCATAAATATAGAATATATAGAATATAAATCAAAACCCAGCTATGCATATATACATATGAAAACGTTATTTCACATCAGAGAGGAGAGGATGGACTGATATTCAATAAAGTATCTTAACAGATTCACTATTTTACACTCGAAGATATATTCCCAATTAAGTATAACATTGAATTTAAAGAAGAAAATGCTAGAAGAAGATGTGAAGGAATGTAATTACACTGTTGATTTTTGGAAGCTATTAAAGATAGGATAGAATAGCATTAAATTCAAAGATTTATTTTTAACTCAAAGTTTCAGAAGCAAAATCAGTAGAATCTGTAGGCAAATGGCAAACTTCCTAAAAGTCTCTCAAGGATATAACAAACAGAAGGTAACAGTATGTTTAACATACAAAGATTTCTTTTCTGTGACTAATGGGCAAGAAGGAAGATTTAAAAATGTTAGCAGTATTTATTTCTATGGAATTATAGGAGTTATCTTCTTTCACTTTTCTGTATTTTCAATCTTTTCTTTTTTTACAAGGAACGTGCATTTATTTTTAAACACAAGAAATGTCTATTTTAATTTTAAGAGAGTCAAAAGCTATTATGACTAAAGTTTTGATCATAGAGACACACATATACAAAAAGAGGATTCATAAAGATATTCTTTCCCTTCAAATCCAGAGTTTCATGCAAAACACACTTGCTGAGTAAGTGGCAACCTTCTCTCTCCTTGAGTTTCTGTGAGTTAGAAGTGCTCATCTCTGCCCCATTCTGATTGTACATCCCAGCCCTACTCTAGCCCCACTCCAAAAATTGTGTGCTTCCTATCAAAACTACCTAACGTGCTTATTTCCTTTTTTAATTAACATATTTTTTCTTAATTTTTTTATTTCAATATTTTTATGGTACACGTGGCTTGGATTTACCACCAGCAATGCCATCTTAAAAATCTTAAAAAGCCGAACTTTGCAAAGTGATATGGTTGACAGTAAAGGAGAGAGAGGTCTAAAGAAGAGGTGCAATGGAATGGTATTAAATTGCCAATGACAGCCATTCAACCCCTTCGTCCTATTATTGATTGGACCTTTTACTTCTATTGACAAGAAGAGCATTGGGACTGATTCCCACTTGCTGTATGGTTCATGCTTTTTTTTTTTTTTTTTTTTTTTTTTTTTTGAGGCTCTATGTAACCTGGGTTCAATATACAATAATTTCTTAAATTACAAAGATTACACTCTTGAAGAAAAATTATAGTTTTCAAGAAGGTAAAATTTGCAGAAACTTCCAAGGCAAACAAGATGTATAAAAACTGAAACTGTTCCATGATGTCAAAATCTGTTGAGGAAAACCTGGCTGCTGCATTCAAACCTGCAAAGGCAGAATCTCTCCCTTGTTTTCTGTTACGCATACAGTCCCTCTTTTTAAAATGCTTTTAACATCTCTGTTACTGAAGCAGTCCGTTCTTGCATTGCTGTACAATACCAGAGGCTGGGTAATTTATAAAGAAAAGGGGTTTAATGGGCTCAGGGTTCTGCAGGCTGCACAGGAAGCATAGCAGCTGGCATCTGCTCACCTTCTAGGAAGGCCTCAGAAAACCTACAATCATGGAGGAAGGTAAAATGGGAGTGAGCACCTCATATGGCTGGACTAGGAGGAAGAAATTGTGAAATTTCACTCACTCACTCACTATCACCAGAACAGCACCTAGGGAATGATGCTAATCCATTCATGAGAACTCCAGCCCCGTGATCCAATCACCTCCCACCAGGACCCAATTCTAACACTGGGGATTATAATACAACATGAGATTTCATGGGGATACAGGCCCAAACCATACCAGTTACCATCTTCTAATTTAGTCTTTTTGGCGTACCTTCTCTCAAGATGCATATTTGAAAGTCTCAGCAAAATATACTATGCCTATGTGGAGGCTACCCAGTTTGTCCAAGGGATGGCCCCCCAATCCCACCTCACAACACTTGTCCACATAACCTGAAGGATATAAGAACAAATTTTGTCATATTTAGAGAGCTGAAGAGAAATACATACATGCAAAAAAGCAAAGCTTTAATAAAACAGTCTTGTCTCTTTCCAATCTGCAACTAAACCCACTTTCCTACAATGTGCCTACGGGACGTAAAATTCGAAGTATAGCTAATACATTATAGATTATTTCCATCACTTCATGGTAGATGTGGACTCGCCTTTTAAAATTTACATTGCAAATAATTCAGAATGGACTATTCTAATAAAAGTAAAGCAAGCAAAACAGTCTGTGAGAAAAATTATTTATCTTTTACTTCAGAATGTGTTTTGGTTCTTACATTTGAATATGAATTATCTGGAAATTCACTTCAAACTGAAGTGCTGTAGTGAGAACCAAAACACTAGGGAACTAGTTTGGGATCTACCACTGAGTAATCTCTGCGAGTTATTGACCCTTTGCAGCCTCGTCTCCTCTAAGGGAAAATAAAGGGTGAGAGCAGAGACTGAATCTAGGGCCCCTTACAGCAGAACAAATCAAAGCATCTCTCAGTGTGTCTTTAAATAATAAAACCTTGCTGTGAAGAATTGCTGTCTAGATCCCACTGCACAGCTTCGCCTTATAACTCATTCCAAACTGGAAATAGCTTTTCTCTCAGGCTCGTAAGGAACTTAGCTTAAAGCGGACATGCACTGTGTCATTGACATTCGTTAAATGTAGAGTCTTCAACATGTTTTCTTTGTAAGTAAAAGCTACCTATGATGTAAAGAAAAAAATACAGAGATAAACTGAATTAAATAAGTGAAGCGGTTCTGAAAGACGTAGGATTCCACCATTTCATTCCCAGCCCTATCTCCTCAGCCATTAAGGTTTCTAAGCTGCTTAAAATCCGGTTGCCACTTCCTTTCCGGGAAATCTAGCAAGAGATAGCTGAGCATGTCAAGATCTGAGGTTTTAGCTATCGACAGGATTTGGGAAGCTGGATCTTGCAAGTCTGACTGGATTCCCAATGAGAGCGGCCCTGGGCCAACTCTCAGACTTGCAGGCACAAATCCAGGCAATTAGTGATTGCACTTACGGACCAAAACATCCAAGCAACTTGATTGGAGCCTTTCTCTGTGTGTGTGATCTCTCTAGGTTGATTAATGAGTGAATATGCCCTCATTTATCCTCTTTGAAGATGCAGCTGTGGAGACAGAGTACATAGGCATATCCTATCTTAGCAAAGTGCTTTTCTTTCTCTGCAGCTGCTTCTCCATCCCAATCCTAAAATGGTACCGCCGCTGAGGAGCCTGATGCCTAACTTCGAGATCAACAGAGTACAAGGTTGAAGGACTCCGTTTTAACTCTTATTTCGCTTAATGTCACCCCAAAGTTGGAAACATTTCAAAAGTACACTTCTCAGTAGGGCAACTCTGTTTCTAAATAACATGCTCATTTAACAAGATACAGTTTACTTTGGCTGCTATTTCAAAATCCCCTGCCCAGGCCTCATGCCTGTGGTCACTTGTCTTTGGATGTCTTACAAATGGCCTCCTGCTTGAGGTATATGGGAGAGTATCTTTTGAGTCACTATGTATTAAAGTTTGGCTAAATATACTAAATTATATATTTCAAATTAAAATGAGTGTTTTCAAATGCATACATACACAAGGTGATATGCTTACAAAACAAGGTCGAATTTAGTTACGGATGTGATAGAAACTGTACATACCTTTATTGGAAAGGTCTATAATGTTAAATGGGCAAATTCATGCTTGAATATGAAAGGCCTCCATTTCTAGCTTGCATCAATGACCACTTCTTAAAACATGCAAAATAACAACTTACCAATAAGAAGAGACAGTCTGTGGATATTGCCTACAATTAGTTGGACAGATCCTATTGCCACTCACCAATTGCTCATTTTAAGTGTTCCAAAGTTTATTGCATTTCTGTAGTTGGAGGATTTTCTAATTTTCAAAAAATTAGACCATTGCAACCCACCTTGAGATGGCAACCATTAACCCTGAAAAGTACTCATCCAGAATTCAGAATCCTAAATTAAAAAAAGAAAAATGTAGCTTTAGAACTGAGATCCTGCTGTTCTTAATAATGTTCTTATATGCCAAAGCAGCTTATAAAATAAATATTAAAAAGATAATTTTCATTCACATCCTGAGTATTATACATGCTCTCACATGACATTCTAAATCTGACTTGTTAGTCAATGTGTGATTATCAAATTCTGTGAGAGCAAGAGAAAGGAGATTAGTAAAGCAAAACATCCCTCAACATTTTTATAAAGAAACACACCAAGTGAATTATTACTAATGTTTTGTACTGTTTCACAAGGCCAGAAATGGTGGCCATGCAACTCACAAGATGGGTACAAGAGGAAATCTCTGTAAGATTTTCAAAGCAACTGTAAAATGGAAAATAAATTTAATGTGGTTTTTCAAATATAACGTTGGAAGTATAAAGAATGCCATTTAGTCAAAATCACTGTCAACCTTTGCAGTCTCCTACCTGTCCCTGCTTCTCTTTCGATGCTTCCAAGGATCTAGCCTTCACCAATTTCCAATCTGAAACCTAAAACCAAAAGCTCTAGAAATAAACTATTAAAGACAAAAACACAGATAGGGGAAATGCAAAGGGAGTGAAAAGGCAGGTAAACAAATGCATCATTTCATTTTATTTCTCAAAGTGTGATCCATGTACCAGCAGTATCAGCATCACTCTAGAACTTGTTAGGAAGGCAAATTCTTGAGCACAAACCTAGACTGACAAATGAATCAGAAACTCTGGGGACATGGTCCAATCAGTGTTTTAATAAGTCTTCCTGATGTCCATGTTGCACAGTGAAATTTGAGAACCATTTATTTTTAGGAAATACCTGAAGTTCGTCCAGTGAATAGTAAAGTGTTTCCTTGATCTTAAATGTGCTTACTGCATGCAACAGTAGTGACTCCAAATATAATTGTTACAGAACTGGATTTGAGTACAGTAGTAGCGTATACATTACCTTATCTCCAAAAAGTGGTTCCCTTGAGAGATTTGGTCAAACTTTTCTTTGTGTTTTTGTTTGTTTGTTTGTTTGTTTGTGAGACAGAGTCTCACTCTGTCACCTGGGCTAAAATGCAGTGGTGTGATCTTGGATCACTGCAACCTCTGCCTCTGGAATTCAAGCTATTGTCCTGCCTCAGCATCCCAAGTAGCTGGGATTACAGGTGCATGACACCATGCCCGGCTAATTTTTGTATATTTTGCAGAGACAGGGTTTCTCCACATTGCCCAGGCTGGTCTCGAACTCCTGAACTCAAGCAACCCTCCTGCGTAGGACTCCCAAAGTGCTGGGATTACAGGCATGAGTCACCACACCTGGCCATCAAACTTAATGTCACTACTTATGACAATGAATTGCAGAACAAATTCATTGGGTAGAAAATGACAACCATCCTGACAATAAAATGGCTAATACTCATTGAAGCACACACTATAAACCAGACATAGTTATAAGTGTTTTATATTTATGAAGTCATTTAATCTTCACAATCACCTTAACATTTTTCATTTTACAAATAAAGAAACTGAGACCCAGAGAGGGCAATTTGTAAATAGTTCCAAGGCTAGTAAAAGGGATGATCATTTTCTCTGGAATATATTTTCTTGTCACTAAGTGATGATAAAATTATTAGGAGAAAATAAAATATACATGTAAGGTTTACAAAGATTCTCTCTTTCTCTCTCTCTCTCTCTCTGTCTCTGTCTCTCTCTCTCTCACACACACACACACATCTTTTCTTACACGCTAAATTGGTTCTGAGTACACAGACATGGCCTCAGCCCTGGTGAGAAAGCAGTTTTTATATATGACACTCACGGTTCCTTTTCAGGCTGAGCAGACAGACCTGGGCTAAAGAGCCTGCTTCTCAGAAAATCATGAGCCTTTTTCACCACCACAGTGTCAGTAGAGAGGAGAAAGTGCCTCTCCACACCATCCTTGACTTCCACGGCTGTCTTGTGGATGGTCTCTTGGATGCCTCTTCTGCCTTCAAAGCCCTATTATACTAGGCTCTCCCATTCACAGTGAATATCTTCCACTTTGCTAATGTCTCCAGAAACACAATATATATCACCTGTTATCTGAAGGTCAATCTGATTGACCAAGCCCCAGATCAACTAAACAAAGCCTGTTCCTTCAGCAAGCTTTCCAGTAGCTGGTCCCCAGTAGAAGACAATGCTGACATCTGTGCATATCACCTTAACAGGGTGATTGTGGCATTCTAGGTCATTCCAGAAGGCTGCCCCACAGTGGCACAAGTCTGCTTCTAGCAACTGCAGGCACATGACAAAAAAGCACACCTCACTACGGGGCCACTGATTTTCCTGGAAAAGGCTCGTGACCTTTCCTGGAAAGCTGGACCTCTTTTGCCCATACCCTTGCGGTGTTGGGCTGAGGCCTGGCCATGGAGGTGTTCCCGATTCTGGCTGCAGTTTTTGTGGGTCTTGCCTGAAGGCATCCACTGGCTTCCCACCCCTTGATATGCCCTGTGTCTGTTTCCCAATAAAAGCAAACAGTGAAAAAACAAACAAACAAACAAAAAACAACTCACAACGACCTGCAAGGGAGCACAGAACACTCACATATGCAATTACCCCATACCAGACTGAACAGAGTCTCATTTCTATTCTTCTTGCCTTTTCCTTTGATAATAAAGCCATTTAAATTTTGCAATTTCCCACCCACAGACTTACACCTTATGTTTAGTGGCTTATTTTACATTTGGTGTTACACTATTGAATCAGTAAAAGAGATTCATTTTTTCTTTTTCAGTGATCAAGCAAAAAAATCATATTGCAACAAAACAATACAAAATTAATCTGGTGGCTTCATAGATTGTTGGCTCTGTGGCCATTTAAAAAATTAATTATTAGAAATCTGTAACATGTACTTCTCTGAGTAACTGATGTCTGAGCATCACTAATACTCTACTTATTCGCTTCCCCTACTATCAAAGAAATGTTATATTTATACACATATGTAGTTGTCTTTTCTAGCAGTGTATTTGTGCATATGCGTACACATCACCTGTAACCTGAACAAAAGGTTTTTACTAATATACTTAGGATAAACACTGATATTTTAAAGACTGAAAGACACATTCCAAAAGAACAAAATTAGGAGGCTGAATTTTTTTTTCTGATAACATCACATAATTTATATTTTAAAATATTGAACAAATGAGAAAGAATGACCCTGCAACTTGGCTGTAGACTTAATTATTAAATGGTAATAGCCATGGAATGATGGGAAAGCCAATTACTATAAAAACTGGCTGTAATCTGACCCTGCACTAGAATTATTCCCTCTAAGCTCTTGTAAATATGGCACTGCCTCCTAGAGTAAAAACTAGCTATGGACTATCTAAACCTCTTAATGAAAAATTTTTATGATTCAAAAGCCCAAATAAAATTTTCACAAGTGCAAAAATAAGTTCTACCTTCTTTCAAGCTTCCAGACACAGGAGAAAACATACACACACACACACACACACACACACACACCCCTCTCAATGCAAAATAAATAACATTTTCTACACTTTCTAGCTGTGAGGTGAGTGCTGTGGGAAGAAAGCACTAAATAATAAACACTTTCAGAAGGGGTTTCTAAAAATGACCTCGATTCAAGCAGTGAAAATCCACAGCTCAATGGAATACAAAAACTTGTTCACACAAGAAATCATCCTTCCTAGTCTCTTTTTGTTTATTGTTTTGTTTTGTTTTTGAGACAGAGTCTCACTCTGTCGCCCAGGCTGGAGTGCTGTGGCACGATCTCGCCTCACTGCAAGCTCCGCCTCGCGAGTTCATGCCATTCTCCTGTCTCAGCCTCCCGAACAGGTGGGACTACAGGGGCCTGCCACCACGCCTGGCTAATTTTTTGTGTTTTTAGTAGAGACGGGGTTTCACCGTGTTAGCCAGGATGGTCTCGATCTCCTGACCTCGTGATCCGCCCGCCTCGGCCTCCCAAAGGGCTGGGATTACAGGCGTGAGCCATCGCCCCCGGCCCAGAGTCTCTTTTAAAGATACAAACTAATGAGATAATCCATAAATTCAAATACCTACCACAAGGAATTTTTTTTAAGCTAAATTAGTGTTTACTCAGTATCTCCTCTAAACTAAACTATGCACAGACTCCAAGGAATAGGGGAGGCAATTTATATTCTCTTTCTTCCTTTGTTTTCGAGCCAGAGTCTCGCTCTGTCGCCCAGGATGGAGCGCAAACGTGCGATCTCGGCTCACTGCAACCTCCACCTCCCGGGTTCAAGCAATTCTCCTGTCTCAGCCTGCTGAGCAGCTGGGATTACAGGCTTGCACTACCATGCCCAGCTAATTTTTGTTATTGTTAGTAGAGATGGGGTTTCGCCATGTTGGTCAGGCTGGTCTCTAACTCCTGACCTCAGGTGATCCACCCGCCTCAGCCTCCCAAAGTGCTGGGATTACAGACAGGAGCCACCACACCCAGCCCTCTTTTCTCTTTCAGCAGTAACTATTGAGCACCTACTAGACCCCAGGCACTCCTCGAGGTGCTCAGGAGTTTGGTGGTGAAAGAAAGAGACACAATATATGTTCTACTTCTACCTAATAGACTGTATATTCTAG